CCAAGTACTTGCTCATGGTGGGAAGTGTTGAGTCACTGTTAATATTATAAAGAGTACGGTCTAGACCTACTCTATCTGAAAAGTGCAATGAAAGCATGGCTCATTTCTAAACACAATTGTAAAAACTTACACACAAAACCACACACTCTAAATCTCTTGCAAAAGCAATTTCTGCATTCAAAACAATGTTTTGTCTTCTCAAAATCAAACTCTTCAAATGACACACACCATCAAATGAATACACATTTCTAAGAACGTGTTGAAGTGCTCATTGGTACACAATGCTATGAATGTAAAATGCTACAATGATAATTTTATCAGTAGGCCGTTTGCATTTTCAGTGTTACACACTGTATGTTAAGTTGCCTTATGTTTTCATACTCAAATATAAAACACACATAGAACAATAGAATGTTTTTATTCCGAAATACTGCATACAACTCAGCAAACACTGTGGGATTTGAAAAGCATTCTTCATACAAAACGAATAATAGGGAAAAAAGCCTTGTCCATATACTGTGAAGAAAAAGTTTCAACCTGGCCAAGTACTACCTAGCATGGTGAGTCCAGCCCTGAGAAGCTTCACTGTTAGATTAGTCCAACTCTCATCAGAGATTATGGTTCTCCGTGGTCTTCCTCATCCTCCTCCTCTTACTCTCACTTGCCTCTCTCTCCTATGTTTGCATCTATTGCTACAAAACAAAAAAAGCTTACTTGTGGCCCATTTTTGATAAAGCTCTGAATGCCTATTGAACAAATGTGCAACATGTGTCTGCCCATGTGAGGAGTCAGCGTGGATAGCATGAAATGTAAGTTTAGCGTGTGTTCCGTAAACAAAAGAGATTTTATCATGGAAATTGTTGCAAATGTAGAGAAATGTGTGTCGTGTGAAGTGAAAAAAGTGTGGTTTAGAACTGCAGCCTGAGCAGAAAATGTGCATTTAGCAGAACTGGTTCAGGCGGTTGGTACGTGAATTAACGATTGTGGTGTTTATGTCTCAAGTACTAGTGTAAGTGTGTTAAGAACAGCAAAAAACTGTAATATTTTTATTTTTCAAGGTGTAGTCTCAAGAGATGGCTTTTCAGTATGGACAGAAGGTGTGTTTTCACTCTGGACAGATGAGTTCTCCATCTGTCTCTCTCTCTGTCTCCGCCTGTCTCTCTGCATGGTGGGTGCTGTTGCTAACGTTTGGGTTTTCTGGCTCTTTTTACTTCTTGTGGGACAGTGTTTCGTTTGAGTGAGTTTGTTTTATTTTTCAGAGGCAGCGGCTGCCAGTTTGGACTAGTTTCATGACTCTGTTAAACTTTTCATGACGAACACAGAACATATTGGAAAAATAACTCTTACTCTTTTGGTTTAGATGCAGCTCAATATTTGATACATGCGACATCAAGCTGGGCTTTCTAAACATTAATGGTGCCAGAAACAATGTAAAAAGGGTTTCACTCAGGGTACATTTAGCTCAGTTGGTTGAGCAGGTCCTGAGTCCATAGCTTTCCAGGTTTGAATTCAGCCTGCAGCCCTTTGTTCCTATTCACCCCCTTTCTCTCTCCCACTTTCCTATCAAAAAGGCAAGAAATCTTTAAAACAAGAGCTTCATTCTTCTTAGTTTTCAGTTTTTTTGAAGGTACTCATAGAAGTGCACCTTTGATAATGAGGCAGAGTGAAAGAGGGAGTGGAGTGGAGAGGACTTTCTAAGCCACAAAAGCAGCAACGTTGATGGAGTTGGAATTTTGTTTTCAAAATATTTTTTACTTGTCTCCTGTGTCCCTGAGGAAATTAATGAAGGTCACTTGAATTTGTGCTGTATTTGAAAATGTACGGTGTTTCTAAATGTTAATGCTCCTACTGTTGGCATGAAGCTTTCAGCTATCCTGGATGTAACAACTAATGCTGTAAATAACTGTAATAGTGAAGATTATTTATTTTTGGGTAGAGATTTCAACTGCACTGAAAGTGCAGCTCTGGATAGGAACTAGGAACCACATAGAGCGTCCATAAGCTTTCATTAAAACCAGCATCAATACACCTGGGCTTATTCTAAAGATACTCATCAAAAGGCAGACTTGACAGATTCCATCATTTCAAAAATAATTAATTCAGTTAAATGTTGTTCAATACATCCAGTTGGATTATCAAATCATTCTCTTGTACAGTGCTCAATTTTTGTTGAGAATTCAAAATGTAATAGCGCATACAGGCATTTTAGTGTGGCCCTTATCACTAATAATGTTTTCAAAAAAAGCTTTTACTCTCTTTTGGAATTACTTTAAGAGCACAAATCTGAAAGTAGCCCTCTGCTACAGTGTGGGACAAAATGAAACAGCTGTGCCTTCAGTACACATTTTGGTGCTGATGTATTTATCACTTGCCACATTGATCCGTCAACTTTAACAGCAGTTGTTGAGCAACTGCCTTTGGTCCTGGCTGCTTTCACTGCAGCAACAGGACCTGTTGAAAATTGTGTCAGTGACTTAAACTCAGCCCTTTCTAGCCTCCTGCATTCAGTTGCACCCATGGTTCGAATTACGGGGTGGATTGGAGGGGTTTGACCCCCCTAATTAAGGCTTGGCGCAAAAGACGCAAAAACAACAGTTCAGGGAGGTCTTTCTTACCTGTCATTGTAAATATTACAATATATTTCCCATACTAATGCCTTATATCCAAGAATCTTGAAATAGGATTTCAGACACCCATGAAATGGACCATACCATTTCCTAACCTTGATGTTAGTTGAACGTCTTGTCCACTCGCTGAGACAGCTGCTTCAGTCCAGTGCATCACACGCTAATGGAGACACTGCAGATTGATGTCAGTAGTAGATCTAGCTTGTTTAATACGCTTAACTTTACTACCTTCAGAGTTTCGTAATTAGCATTGATTTACTTTAAATTAGCTATGTGATGTTAGCTAGCTGATCACCCATCATATCATTCCATTACCACTATATCATTTCATATTTTATGTATTTGTTAGCCAACACTGGTGCTTAGGCATGAGCAGTGAAATTGAGGATTAGTTATTGTAGATACACATTTTGACATCAATATAGAGTTTATTATTTCATTTTAAGTGTTTTCTACAAGCATGATATTTGTTTTCACTCTGGAATTCTGGAGTTTTACCTGGCTAGGTAAATGTTAAAATCCAAGTTTGTTATTTCAAATGTTTTCAGTTTTATTTAGCACCAATTCATAATAAAAGGCATCTCATTGCACTTTTTATTTAGAGCATGTCTAGACAGTAGGCTACTCTGTTTAATATTATGTACAGAGACCCAAAAATTCCCAATTCCCCAACAGTGTATGTCAACTGTTTTATTGAATGCAGATTATATTGCATTCACAGTCAACTTGAGAAAGAGGAAAGGAAATATTTGCTAAAAAAAAGTTGAAACTTAAAATGACAACAATTATTAATTAGATATGATAATGCAGACTGTATTTTATGATAGTGTCTTTGGTTCTGGCCATACAAAATTGCAATGCAACAAAATTAAATAAAGACAGATGTTTATTCTATTCGAGTGAAGTATTTAACGGTAATTTTACAGCAACCCTCTGTTTTGAAGGCGAGGACATCCAAAACAACATCATCCTGAGTTGAGTTTGTTGCAGAACAGATGTAAGATACAGGCTGATTTCCTTGAAAGGCTTTATACACTCAAGTCACACATCGGGAACAACTTGGGGTTTAGTATTTTGCCCAGGGACACTTTAACATGCAGACTGGAGGAGCTGGGGATCAAACCACCAATCTTCAGATTAGATGGCAACCTGCACTACCTCCTGAGCCACAGTCCCTGTCATTTCAGTCCTACAATAGTCAAGTAAAGACAAGACAGTCTGACTGAATGAAAGTACTGATTTTGTAGCTGTACAAAAATTTCACATTTCAGAATTTTGTCTTCCATGGCCACACATAGATCTATCAGCGCCTATACTGACCTTACTAAGGAGATCAGGTATCTGCCATGAGGTTGTCAATACACATTCAATTCAGTTTCTTCATTGTCACTATAAAAATCTGTGATTTTATAACAAATCTGTGTGAGAGAAACACTGGCATCGGTTTGGTACTCAGTATTGGCAGATACCCCAAATCCATATCAAGGGAGGGAAAAGTTGGATTGATGCTTCAAATTGCTGCATGAGGGAACACGAGGCAAAAGGAAAAAAAAAAACAACTAACATAATCTAAAATTGAAATGGAATGGACAGCCCTAGCTTGTCCTTGTATTTCCCCCAGTATTTGGACTTTGAATTTTCCCCCAGTGAAAAACCACTGCTGAACAATTGGTGATTGTTTGTATGCTACACATGATGCCACCGAAATTCATGCCTGATGCAGGTGTTGGAAATGTTCAAATGGGGACAACAATGTCTGGGGAAACACATTATAAGCCTGTGCACTTGTATTTGATTCAGGTGAGGGATTTAATGTGAAATAAGCTTAGGGAACTGTCTGTCTGAGGCTGTTTGTCTTGAAGCTCTTATAGAGATAGTAAGTCACACTGTGTGTGTGTGTGTGTGTGTGTATTTCATGTTTTTAGACCCTGTGGGGACTGAATGCACACTAACCAATGGGGACTTGTGCCACCATGGGGACAACAACTTCAGTACCCACGGGTAGAGACACTTTGTGAGGGTTAAGACGTGGTTTTAGAGTTCAGGTTACATTTGGGTTACAGTTACGGTGAGGGTTTACCTTGGGCATGCGGTTATGATGGTTAATTAAGGTTAGGGTAAGGGGCTATTGCGTCAATGAAATGTCCCCACTGGGATAGAGGAACAAAAATGTGTGTTTTCATAAATGAAAGAAGAAAAGACTTTATGGAAGCCAGGAGCAGTGAGTGGAAGACGAGGCACAACCACACTGTAGGGGGAGAGAGACAGAGAGAGAGAGAGAGAGAGAGAGAGAGAGAGAGAGCGCAGAGGACCCCTGCTGCTCGCGCCCTCGCGGTGCGCTCGCGACGCACACCAATCCTCGGGAAGGCTCCGGGTCTGTGACAGCAGCTAGAGGAGAGAGGGTGAACCGCAAACACGGGCAAACGTCTGTCTCTTCCCAGCAATCACTCCTGTTTCTCCGTATCAGGGGGAGGCTGTCCTTTCAGTGTCCTCCCCGGCTGTGGCAGCCTCTCTCACACAGAGGATCGGTTATGTGATGGGTGTTGGAGCGGAGCCCGGAGAGGGAAGCGGGGTGATGATGAAGAGCAGGTTTCTGCCGCTGTCCGGGAAGTTCGGTATCCACTTATACACGACGCTCAGCGGGGAATACAGGAGCCGCCGCTTTCACTGAGGGATTAACATTACTTCTTTGACTAATTTGCTGTAGATTTATCGCAGTTTTGTCTTGTTTCTGAGCTGAAACGTGGTTTAATGATGCTCCAGCTCACCTTCGGATCGTACATGTTGCCTGGCTGATACAGAGGCCGCCTCTGGATTGTGGTTCTTCTATGCCCATATTTGGAGCTATTTGAGTAGGCAGTTAACAGGACGCCACACATCCAGGTCAAATGACCGTCTAATGTCCCTGCTGAGAGTGACGAGCCTTACTGTGCCATGGAAAAAGCAGGATTCTACGGCCTCCTTTATTACTTCATTCTCCATTCGCCCTTTATGGTTTGTGCAAATGGTAAGTGAACCCCCAGAGAGGAAGCAAATGGAGAATGAGAGAAACAGTGGGAATTGACTGTGGCTTTTAAAAAGCTATACTTAAAAATAAATGCTAGCTGTCCACGGGATTAAACATGCATCCCACTAGTATTTAAACCAAGCCTGTGCATTTTTACTGTTCAGTTATTCCTTCTGTGTGAATAGTTGGATGTTTATAACAGTGCAAAACAAACCCACAGAATGACCCAGCCCTGCCCATAGCATCATGGAAAGCTTGGAGAACTGCTTTCCATTATTTGATTAAATAAAGCTGAGGCAGATTATAGATCACAGGTGCTCTAATAAAACCATTCCAGTCTACAAATGCCGGTTAATGGGGACTATAGGAGGAGAGCTTAAAATAGAGGAAGTCTGCATGATGGAGGGAGAATGGACGGCCACACACAGCAGGTCAAACTGATAGTTACAGGCTCATGAAATTTGTTTCACACACAGCAGTTTCACTTTGCCACCCCGCTCATTAATCTGGTGTCTCTCCTCTCTCCCCTTCATATGCCAAAGCTGCATTTACTGAAGTCCCCAAAGATGTGAGCGTGGGGGAGGGAGAGGATGTGGAGATGCCCTGCGCCTTCAAGGCTGTCAGCTCCGCGCCCATGTCTTTGGAGATCCAATGGTGGTACCTGAAGGAGGATGTGCCTAAAGAACTGCCTCATGAGCTGCAGATCAGCGCTCCGGCCAACAGAGCCAAGGTAACAACAACACTAACTCTGACAACAGACACGCAATTGTTTAATTATACATAATGCTAAAAATGTGTCCTACATGACCTGTTCCTATTTGTTGGACAAATACTGTACCTTCACACCTGAAAAAATCTGATCATAGGAATAGATAACAGTTGCACTTCTGCCATGTAAATTTGCCACCAACATTCGAACACTTTGTAGAAAGGCCACTTGTTGGTTATCAACATTATATTCCTCTCAGGTCTGCTGCCTAAAACCGCCATGATAGGATACTGTGGCAGGACGCAGTGGGAATTACTTTCCTCCTCGGCATTACAAATCAGTCTGAGTCTTTTTCAGTCATCGGGGGAGTCAGGGACAATCACATCTGCTGCATTTCCTCTGCGGTTTAAGCACATTAAAACATGCAGCGGGGGTGAAGAGAGCAGAGGAAAAAGATGAGAGGGCGAGAGAGAGAGGGAGAGAGAGTATCAATGGCGTCTTTGAGAAATGTACGCAAGCAGCTCTGCTCATGCCTCTCTCCACCACATGAAAGAAAAATCTTGTGTTATTGTTGCCAATGATGTGCATCTTTTAGTGTTTTAACAGCTGGTGTTTAGTTACTTGATAAACATGTTGTATATGTGTGATTCCCAATGCTTTCTCTTTTCAGGTCACTCCAAGGGAGGCCACAAAAATAAGTGTAAGTGTCTGCTTTCCTGACTGCACAGACTGAAGAGTGATGCTTAGCAGGCCAGAGGACAGTCATTCAATAAATTGCATTGATATTTATAATACTTAACATGTCCGAAGAGGAAAAAAAAAAAAACCTACTCGACATGGGGGAGGACATTATGTTTAAAAGGTGGAGTGTAATATTTATCCCACTGAAGAACATGCTCCTTCAGGCTGTCTCTTTGTGATAGCAGGACCAAAGGTCTGACTAGTGACTGATACACCCGACACGCATTCTTAGTGGATTATTTGACAAACTGGGTGAACCAGCATGGTTTCTGCTGCTTAGTGTTTAGCCTGTAATCATTTCTGGTAAAAAACAAAAAAACAAAAAAGAAAACAAAAAAGCTTTATCTTGGGACCTCAAAACTAAATTAAAGATCCATTTTATGCCTGAATACAAGTTGTCCATTTATATCAACAGATGAATTAGTCTAAGAAATCCTGTGACTATTATTCACCAAAGAATTTCTTCAGTGCTCTGCTATCCCAGTTCCTTCAGACTTGGTGTCCGTGTTACACATGCTGTGGCAGGGCTATAATAATATGTTAAATTTTTATTGTTAACATGTACCCTTATTAGGGATAATTGAGCCTCTTTAAGAACTAATGTGTCGGTCTGCTGAGCAGCTAATACAGGGCCATGAGTTGGGGCTTTTGCTGATGCCTGTTCCTCCCCCTTTACTCAAAAAAAATGAAGCTACCCGTATTAAGCTGCTGATTAATGCATATTTAAACTGGTATTTGATCAAGAGTTGCTGTTTGCAATGTTTCAGTGTTTCACTCCTCCTCTGCTTTGGTTCTAGACTGTGCGTGTTCAAGGCAACGCCATATCCCACCGCCTCAGCCTGTCCAAGGTGAAGAAGGAAGACGAGGGCGTGTACGAGTGTCGCGTGTCTGACCTGTGGGCCGACGAGACTCAGGAATTTATGGTTCGTGCCACGCTGCACGTCACGCCGGGTGATGGCATGGTGGCCGAGGAGGCCGTGTCGCACATCCAGAACCGCTGGCCCCTGAGGAATACCAACACGGCACTGGGAGGGGGCGGAGCGGGGAGGGCCACTTCAGAGCCCGGCCAGGGGCTGGCAGGAGGTCAGAGGTTAGGGCAGGGGAAGCACCGCGTGCCTCAGCAGGCCCAGCCTGGCCTCCTCCCGTCCATCTCGTCCACCACCACCTCGGTGGCCAAGTCGTCAGCCTCACCACTGCCAGGGAACGCAGCCATCCTCCGGCAGCAGCATGGAGCTGGTGAGTGAGTGTAGGAGGGGGGGGGGCGCTGGAAGTGAAACAGAGCCACAGTGACCCCTAGTGGTGGTGGAAGGGAGGAACCACCTGAGATTTACACACAGATCTTAGCAGACTTTGCAGGTGGCTGCTGTGCTGGTCTGCATCTGTCTCAAGGTTCATCCATCTTTGTAACTCAGATCTGAGCAAATGTACCGTTGTTTTTCTTTGACAGGGACCTTTTATCTTTGTGTAGCAGTGGAAGATATTTCAGTCTGAGATTCACCATGAAGTCCTCTGATCAATTGCACTTGCCACTATATTTCTAAGTATGTACAGTTTCTGCTACATACTTGACAAGTCTGGAGTCTGCCTTATTTCCATTTCATATTGGACAGAGTACTTACATAATACCATCATGCTTATATAGCTACTGGAATTACTAGGAATTTAAAATTGTCTTTCATTTGACCAGCTTTGGAAAGAGTGTGTATATATATATATATATATATATATATATATATATATATATATATATATATATATAAGGGGCGGCTGTGGCTCAGGAGGTACCCGTTAATTGGAAGGTCGGCGGTTCAGTCCCCGGCTCCTCCAGGCTGCATGTCGAAGTATCCTTGGGCAAGATACTGAACTCCAAATTGCCCGTGGCGGCTGTTCCCCCAGTGTATGAATGTGTGTGAATGTTAATTTCTGTTTGAGCACTTAGGCTCAGTGTATAAATGTGAGTGAATGGTGAATGCAGATGTAGTGTAAAAGCGCTTTGAGTGGCCAGAAAGGTGCAATACAAATACGGAGCATTTAGTATATAAATATATATTCTCATTCTGTCATCAGTAGTGACTCTCAGATTTGGGGGCTGCCCTGCATGTGAGATTATGGATATCTCTGCATTCACACACACTGTGTGTGTCTTCCCATGTGCTGTATGTGAGAAAACGAGTGTGATCACCCAGCTCCGCGTTCTCCGTCATCTATTCATATGCTGCTGCCCTACCTCAGTCACACTCTTCAAATTTCTCTTTAAATCAGGGAAGCGTTTTTGTTAACTTGTATACAAACACCTATTTATGGCAGCGGCTCTGCCAGTGGCTTGGCAGATGGTATGGGAGGGATGAGAGCAAGGGGGGGGTGGAGAGTTGTAATCTACCCCCCCCATAGCTCTTCTACCTGCCCCAGTTCTGAAGCATAATGTGAATAATTAAAACTCATCCGAGTCTAGTGGAGTCTTGTCAGCCGTGCTGCTGATACAGAGAGTCAGCCCCAAGGACTGCATGACAGATGCTGTCTGTCGGCTATGAAGGGCCTGCGCTCTGGTTGACTCCAACATTTAAACGTCCATGTGCTGGAATTGTATTGCGATATGACAGAAGCTAGTGAGAGGGTTTCAAGGTATTACAGTTGACATTGTTTCTGCTGCTCTCTGTGTCTGCTGAAGTCTGCTGTGTCAATTCAGAAGAGTATCAGTCCACTGTCCTCACAGCTTTGATCAGACGTTCAATGACAGGGAGAAGGGAGAGGACTTCATCACTCACTGATGCTGCTGCTCCTATATGTGTTGCCTTTTATGAGATGTCTGGAAAGACAGTCAGCATCTGTGTGTCTGTAAAGCAATATAAGCCAAACAGTCACGCAATAATAGCTTATGAATTTGTTCTCATACCCGTAGCAGGCATTGGATGATAGAGTCATTAGCCATAGATGTGCATTTGATGTATTTTAGGATCAATTTTACATGTAATGTTGTTTGCATATGTCAAACATTTCGAGTGACTGTAGAAGATTTGCCTCTTTTAATATATGCAAAAGGCAACAGCAACTTTTTCAGGGAACCTGTCAAGTCTCCACCTGCCCGAGAAATAAATACTACAACAAAGATTAGATTTCTGCACTTGAGCTGATGTAATGTGTGTTGAACTCATTCAGTGATTGCAGACACTTGAACAGTGTGGTGTTTAGTTTAATCAGGACAGGTACTAGCAATGAAGGGCTTTTTTAGACAGCTGCGTCTGCTCTGAGCATCGGAATCCCCTCTGGTGGTCATGCGGCGAGACATGTGCTGGCGCAGTGAAATGGAAAACACAGTATCTGACCACAGAAATGGTCAGTTATCAGTTTGTTTTAGGTTAAATGTGACAGGCCCACCCTGCAGACTAACCTGTGATAAGGCCCAATTCACACATCCAGTGATAAAACTGCAACAAATCCAAACCTGCTGTTACTGGGACACAGACTTCATCCTCCTGTATCTGTGTACCTTTCAGTAAGCCCCAAACCAAAAACAAACCAATGATTACCAAGAAGTTGTGAAGCCATGTGTCCACTGTTTATTTATGTAACCTACATCTGTTGGTTGCATTCTGGATGATTGCTGACGCAGCACATAAAACCTCACAGTCAGAGGCTCGACTTCAATTACTGGCCAGTCAAGCCTGATGGTTCAATGCCTCTAAGTGTTTGGGTCTTTTTAAAGCAGTACGGTAATGATGTCAACTGTTTTCTGATACAAGGCTGAGGACTCTAGAAAATGAAAGGTGACCATAATATAGATAACTGCAAATAATGATGATGATGTTTGTCATTTTGTGTGCTTCAACTACAGATAACAGCTCTCTGTGAGCCCGTTCCGCTCCGTTCTGTGCAGGCTACACATCCCACATCAAGCATTTCAGAATAAGAGCGTTTTGCCTGCCTGATTTTGCAGACTTCTTCAGATTTTGTTTATTTGTTCAGTTGTCTGTTCAGTGTTTAACTGTGTTTATTCTATAGACTCGCAGTGAATATTGAACTTTAGCTAAACCTTAAAAAAAAAAAAGCACATTGAATCGTAATCACAATATCTGGCAGAAAAATCACAATTAGATTCTTTCCCCAAATCATTCAGCTCTACTCTGACTCCAATTGTGTTAAAATGTGGTTGCCGTCGCACTAGTTCCCTCAGATCAGTGATTTCCAGTCTTTTTGGCTTGTGGCATGTACCTCGGTAACAATTAATAAACTGTGAATATCTTATTAAATACACACATTTATTACTTGTAATGTAAAATAAACAGAACTCATGGACTATGCATCTACTTTTTCATAGCACAAGAGGGACTCTTTTACAGGGCTGCTGTTGTAGCTAACTTCAGGGCTGTAGGGCCCTGTGAAATCAGTTGAAATTTGTTCCCAAATTCCGTGTTTTCCCATTTAATTTTAACGGGGCCCTGTCCACCTCTTTGAGCCTGTCTACAAGCTCTCTGATCGATTCCACTGCTGCTTTGCTGTCTATTCTGTTCCGTGTTGAAAGGAATTGCTCATGTTCACACCCCCTTTTACAGTATATGGTTACCAATTGAGTTAACCACCTCGTGAAATTAGCAATGTAATTATGGATGGCAATCATGTAGTGTATTTTACAGTATTGTATTGTACATCCTGTAATCACTGCAGTGGTCCTTTGTGGCTCTGTTAGAGCACTAAGCTACCAAAACTGAGGTTGTTGGTTTGAATCCCACCGAGGTCACATAAAAAGCTCATACCTGTGATTCTGTTCAGTTAGGAATAAGGAGCATAGTGATAGTAAACGGTATTTTAACAATAGCAGGGCTCAACGTTAAACTTTTTTGCAACTGGACCAAAAAAAAGTCATTTATCAGTGTTACAACAAAACCAAAGACTTACAAGTTATGTTATACTGTTAGCATGTTTAATCAGTTATTAAATACATCCTGGATATAAAAAAACTAAACTAAAATGTAATCAGTTCAAACGGTAGCAACCTGTCAATCACAAAGTAGTTCCGCCCAAAAGCATATGCTGCATTATCATCTATTTCCCCCTAAATAGGACCATAATTTACTCAATGAACATCATGTTATTTTTTAAAAATACAAATGTTTTTTCACTGGCCTGATTGGGCAAGTGAGTTGCTAGTTCAGCTGTCCCGACATTACTTTTTACTGGCCCCGGGCCATCGGGCCACCGTTATTGTTGAAAATCTTATTGAAAATTACGCATTTACTTTGTGTGAACATAATGTACTTTAATGCGAAACATGTCTTTCTACATGTTTTTGCTGTACTCAGTCAATGTCAGATGTACTAGTATATTACCACATAATTGTGTGATAGTACCATAGCGACAAAAAAAAAACTGTAGGCATATTTTGTCTTCTGAAAGAGTGTGTTATCATGTGATGGATAAATACAATTTCAGCAGTTTAATAAGAACATATTACAAATGGAATCAGTATCCATGAATTTGATGTATCATGCCAATATGCTTAGAGAAAAATTCAAATGTATGTGCATGTATTATTTATGGGAACAATTCACAATAAATGTTTTGCAACAGTAGGGTATTGAAATACTATAATACTATTTAATAGGGGACAATTCAAAATGAATGTGTTGTTGCAATACATGCACTGTGAATTGTCCCACATAAAATATGTTAATACTTGATTACTGATCATTTCCTCCCACGGATGTTCTGGAGGACAGCCTTATCAAATTCCAAAATTCCATCCATGTTTTCCACATTGAGGAAATCAGAGGGCCCTAGTGCTGTGTCTAAATATTCAGCTGCTGGTTAACACAACTCAGGAACTGTGGTTCTTTAGAGGCTGCATCACCAACTGAATATTTACTGTTAACATTCATGGCTAACCGGACTGTGCTCCGACCTCCAGCACACCTCCTTCACCTGAGCACGGACATAGTGCCTCGCTCTCTCCGCTACTCTTTCACTATTTCCACTTGTTTCTTTCTCACCTGAACTGGCCCCGCAGCTGCAATTCTCTAACATTGATACATGAGTTGTTTGATCTGTTTGCCATTCACAGTTAATTACATTGCTTAAAACTGCAGAATGGAACAATACTGACTCGACTAATGAAAAAAAAAAAAACACACACAGCAAACTCTGGTTGTGTATTTAAGCCTGTAGAGAGAGATTCTTTATTTTAGTTAAAGGGCAGGCATATAAAGGAATGAATTTAAACAATCAATATGACCATAATGTTG